ACACGGCGTTTACGGTAAGTCTTGTAACCAAACAAGTTCCGATTACATCGAGATAAAAGTTCCTCATGTTTACAGAGACTAATACCCCACTTCAAAATACATATGGATCAGGTGCTTGTTGCAGCCAAGAGGTGCTCTTTGGTCCGCCAACCTTCAAAAGAATAGAAGTAATAGCCCGCTGATGCCTGCGCCCCATTAAACTCGAAGTGAACACGCTTAAGACTACTTCCTTTACCAAATCTTCAGAATACTTTTCCAGATGAGGGATTCATCCAGCATTTAGTCAGAAATTAAAGACTAGTAAGCGTTCCCTGGGAGGCACAAAGTCAGAGAAGATGAACGCAGTACAAATTTATCTCCGTTTTGTAAAATATGTGTAAAGCAATGGGGTAGCTGTTGAGATTACGACATACTCTAATGCACAAATTGGATTGGGAATTGAAATAGGAATTGCTGAATCCAAAGGCATCCTCAAGACATGCCTCATCCTCCATGCCTTCAACACTTGAGGATATGAGTGAATTCAAGTGAGCCGTATCCGCAAAAAGTGAACTATACCAATTAACGTTCCGCTGGGATCGGTGAATAAAAAAATCTGGTTTCAAAAATAGACCGCATATCAAGTTGTGGTTGCTGCTTGACTGTAATTTATTTTGAAATCAGGCTAGACTACCGCTTAGTACGAAAATCACAAGATGCCTCCAGCAGTAGTTTTAAGATAATGAAGTAGGATATACCGTACCTAGATGACTTCCACCACTAATTCTACAGGATTTCCAAAATGGCATCAATGAAAGTTGATTTAATACCGTACAACATGGGACATTTTCGAGAGACTGATAAGACTGTTAAGTTACTCGAATTTGCCACGCTGACAACCTGAATGATGTATCGGTTTTGTCCGGTTACTGATGACATAGAGATCGACCATATTGGGGAAATGTCATGCTCAGCTATGTAAAAATTGCCCGGTCGTAATTTCTTCACGATGGATGCATAAAATTGTGACGGGAAATCAGGTGCTGACCATCAAAGTAACTCATTACGAGAAATTACTGCAAGCCACGGCATGGAGGATTTTAATATTAAAAACTGTTTTGTCCTCTGCACCAGGAAAGGCAAGCTTGTTCTTACAAGCATTTTCCCTGTCAACTAAGGCAAGCACTGCGATGGAATCGGGGTGGCCAGAGAGTCCTTTTGACATTTTTTTAATTCCTAAAAGCGCACAACTTTTCCGTCGTGTTGATGTTCAGTAAAATTTTAATTGCAAAACTGAATCCGGCTCTGAATCAGACTGATCGACCGTTTAGATTATCAGATGGAGTGGAGTCATTTATGCACGAGGATTGGTACACACTACTCATGGATTAAAAAAAAAACTCTTCGATCGGTTTCCTGCTTATTGGGGCTCATCAGGTGTGCGCGGTCTTCGATTTTCTATCAATGTTATATTCTGCTTGAAAAAAAGATTGCTCAAAAGACGAGATGCAGTCATCATGACTATTTTGAACTGACCTCCATTGGCCTCACTAATTAATAAATTGTAGCTATTAGGGATGACTCACACCACAACGACACATTAGTGCACTTGAATATGATTACTCCAGTGGGTGAACGTGAAGCATGTTTCCATCCCGATGGTGTACATGGCTGTATTTGGTCACTTTTCTGCAAACTTCACTGCAAATGCTTTGTCAATAGTTGGCCAAAGTGTACCTGCTCGTATAACCGGTCTCAGCACAGAGCGCCAGCCAATGCGAAACGGAAGGCGATTGGCACACACTTGAGCTTGAAGATTCATTTGGTTTATCTGACAAACCAAGGCTTTGGCAGTGTTTGCAGCCGAAAAACCGTGAGAAGAAACTACACAAGCCTAATTCACTCATGAGCGATGCGCTTGAACCTTTTACCAATAAATCCATGTTGCTTGCTATCCGGAGGTACTTGGAATTTTTCGTTATGATGCGGAAAGCCCATTGGACTGACGAGCGCAATCATTTAGCGAACTTCTCTTATAGCAAACTATTAGAAATGGTGATGTCCGAAGACACATTGGCAACAATTCTTCCAAGACGAATCAAGTCGTTAAAGTGGAATGCGAAAACGGTGCAACAACCCATCGCCTTGTCATTCCGTTTGCGGGAATACACAATGGCTTATTCACCCTGAAGTTGGTCACAAAGTGAGCAACGTGCGACTGTATTGCAGATTTCATCCATTATCGTGTCTCTTAAAATGTATAGTTTATATGCATGTAATAAGAACGGGAAGATACCCCGGAGTACGGAATTTATAGCAGGAATCTCTTGCCTGTCTTATTGGTATCTTTCGCTTATTGGAATAAAAGCCATACTCACTGGAGCGTTTTTGACTACGAAGTATTCCCAAAGCCACTCTCGGAGTTTGAACTTACGTTCTTTCCAAAAGCACGGTGCTATGCGCTTTTTCGGGAAACTAACGTAACAAATACGGAGGGTGAACATTTTCTGCAAATCTTACATTTTGCAATACAGCTCACCTTCTACAAGGGTTTCGTGGGGGATAAAGAATTCCCCTCTCTGCACCTATCCATGTGAACGTTAAGTATTAAACAGAAAAACCAATCACAATGACTGTTACCATGTAAGTACAATAATATGTGTGCAGTAACACACAACAACAACTCACTTCTGAAGTAAATTGTTAAACCTATGTAATACTTGTCAGATCCTGTTACTTGCGTATCTTGAACCAAATCTCTTTACCGTAATATAGAGGAAAGTGAAAAAGGCAAAAACGGAAGACAATGATAAAACGTTTTTCGCTTTCAACTTTTCGAAATTCGATAACATTAGAACAAGCCCGATTGGTTTAATCCTCCTCTTTGTCTTGTTTTATTCTAACATTTTTTGAACTTAGTCCGTCGTGTAAGATTGCAAAACCATAGAATATGGCACGCTGTAGTATTAGAAGTCAAACCGTACAACTGCCTGAGTTTTTTGACAGGTCGCGCATTGAAGAAGATATTATGTGTGGAATATATATCACTGAAAAATGTGTCAACAGTTGTCTGCAGAAAGTATGTAGTGCCTGTAATCCGTTGTAACATATTGACCATTTTTCCTAAACTTAAACTACACTTTGTAACTGTCATACATATTTTATCATGACGTTTGTTTTGATGTTACCAATACACTATTTTCCGGCGCGACTTGCTGACTTCTTGCTGAACGAGTGTATTTACGCTCCGTTGGACTGTTTGCTGACTGCTGAACCAGTGGGACTAGATCTCCGTGTTTGCGTCAACTGCTGAACGTCACAGTTAATCCCCGTGACGTTTTTCAGCCATGAATAACTTTCATATCGTGGAATATATCACTCACACATGAATCATCTGTGGGAAATTTCCACGAGTGCATATTTCTTTCACAGCCGGTTACTGCATTTGGATAGGTGAAGTGGACTATTGGATCTACTCATTCGTGAGTTCTTATTCGACTACTAATTCTTTACTTATTGTAATTTTGTGATTTTGTATTGGTTACTTTGCTTGTTAATTTGTCCGAACACGCTGATAAGGTCCTAGCCCGTTACAAGTATCCTTAAAACTTTTTCGGTAAAAGTGTTCTTACTGTAACAAATACACTCATTTGCAAATCAATTTGGTTTTTCAAGAGACTCACCTGGAACCTAGCTGGATCCCTCGTTTGTGATGTTTCCAGGCAGCTGAATGTATTGCACCAGGCCGCCTCATGTTCCAGTTGCTACGATATTTGAGATATCGCGATACACATATATTCTTAATACACTACTGATAAGGTTGCTAAAAATTCGTCGACAGCCCACGATCGGTTTCACCCTTCTTGGGGATAACTTCGTGCAATTTGGGTTCAAGTAGAACATAAGGTTGACGGAAACTTGGGGAATGCGCCTACTTGATGAGTCTCAAGAAGGGCGAAACCGGTCGTGGGCTGTCGACGAATTTTTAGCAACCTTATCAGTTGTGTTACTGTACTTTTGCTCAAATCAAGTATAAACCAGTTTATTAGTGTGTCGGGTGGATGTCCCATCTGCAAAGGCACAATTAAACAGGGTCGAATAATACTTCTGAGTGACCGGTCAGACACTGCATATTATGCCGTGAATTCCTCAGATATACGAACTACCTGATTTGGCTCGCCCCTGATGATCGAGAACAAGTGGATGCAATCAACGGATCGTGTAACAGTCATTTGGCACTTACTGATGTATGGTTTTCTCCAGTGAACACAATATTCAGAATTTCAACTTTTTAAGGGGAAGCTCAAGCTTACCTAAGATTTAACATCATCTTCAATTGCATGGTTTTATTTTATTGGACTTAAATTCTGTAATAATAAATCACAATTCGAAACTGTACACTGGGATGTGGAAATCAGCTGTTTATAGGTCCAGCTGTCAATGCATACTTCGCAAGGTCATACAAAATACCTCGTGAGCGATATTTAACACAGTGGCTATGGTAGTTATTGCGTTAAACTCATGGTGCCTTTTTGTACATTCCGCTTTGTTTGAAGCTACAGTCAACATATGATACTAAGTGGAGGCGTGAGACCCTTGTGGGATGCTCTAAACCGATAACCGATGCACAGGCAACACCACGACTGACCTGTTTCGAAATAGGACAGCACAGGATAGTCTAATTGGCTCTATTCTACCAGTAATTACCGGCTGCTCAACTGTACATCTACCCAGCTAATAAGATGTTCGACACGTAAAATTGTTGTCATGCTTTTGATGATTTTTATAAAAAAAGCCGACATACTTTACCTTGTATAATCTTCTGAAGCCGCACTAAACATTAGAGAGACAGATAGCTTTTCTATTGGCTGCCCAAATGTGCGTACATAGGGTTTTGTAGCTTGTTAATTGGTCAGAAATTTGTTACATGGAAAGAGGCTTGTCCGGTCAGTAATGCGGTCGATGACGCAATACTGGCTCCAAAGCTGCGTGTGTATTCACCGACCAACCTAGCAAGACCTATGGATCTGCCCCTACCACACAAATGTGAAGTAATTTATGAAGATACCTCGAGTGACAAACTGTCCGAGAGAATAAACAACGGAAGCCATGAAAGTGCAAACCCGTGCAAAATCTCCAGCAACGCAGCTGTTGATAAAAATTGTTCTGATCACAGATCGTCTATTAGAAAAGGACAAGAACTACCCAGTTCCATGACAGAGACATTTTCAGATAAGCCAACCACGTCACCAGAGTCATTCTATCAGGAAAATTCAACGTCAAATGGGTCAACCTACTTGGAGAAGACAACTATCAGTGCATCACCAGAGGCTCATTTGTCTAAACTGAAGTCAATTCACCGGAAGAACAAACAAATACAAAGACTGCGCCGTTTACGTCGTTGTCTTCATTTCTTCATTACACACGTGCTGGGACTTTTAGCCATTCTCGTCAGTATCGTACTTCTCGCTTATGGCTACATGTTTTCTCTACGTAATTTCCTAGTCGGTGGATGCATTTTACTCTTAGCGGCAGTGGGATTTCTCATTCACATTTGTTTTGCTGATCGCGTTGGAGCGAATAAATTCGATCCAAACTCCGTTGCCTTTTCAATTGCGGCAGAGGATCTTCGAGACTTTACAGTACCATCCATCGTTGAACCACTGCAACCAGACACGCTCTCAGGGAAACAACAACAGCAGGAACAGACAAGAAACATTACCAGTGAACCACAACCCCCCCTGTCTGGCACCACTCTCCATCCAGGTTTCTCTAACGTGCAAGTAAAACGAATGAGCATGGTCCTAGCACGTATGGCCAGTAATTCACTTCAGGTACCCAAACACTACGAAAGCAATTCTTCAAATGTACTGAATCTTGCGCGCAGATTGACAATGGCCAGTTCTGTAATGACCGGGAACGATGGAGCACTGGTAAACGGGTCTAACTGGATGACGGGATCACGATTTCGTCACGGAGTTCGCCGCAGTTTGGCTTGGAACGCAACCGGAGCAAGTCGATTTTACGACCGGAATTATGACTAGAAAACTATTTTGGACACTTTTATTTGACAATAATGATCAAACCCTTTTTTATACGCGACAAGTTCTAACGAACAAGGCATGGCACTGCACAAGTTGAAAGGAACTAAATAACGAAGTAGTTTTAGAAATGGTCACGTGAATGAGGCAACTAGTTCCACAAGCATGATTAAAGCTTTACAAGGAATCCGCCAAAAAGTGAAGAAACGTTGACGTGTCTGAATATTTCTTACGATAAATGAGATTGAAACCCGTAAATTTCGAACCCACACAACCACTTAAATTTATGCAGTATACGACCTATTTTGTTAGTTTATAGAGACTGACATAAGTCAGTAGACTTTTGTCACCGCTTTCGGTCACATTGTCCAGGACACTTCACTTGGCCGTTTCGGCAGAAGGTTGAGATTCAGGTAGAACATAGGGTTGACGGAAACTCGGGGACTGCGCCTACCTGATGAGTCCCAACAGGTGCGAAACTGGTCGTGGGCTGTCAAAAAGTTTCCAGTTGTTTCCCTTATGAAGGTTGAGGTCTGTTAATATCCCGTCAGATGGCGTTATATGATCACTATTATCACCCAGCTATGAACCAGAGTCAGCCAAGCCGCTTCCCGACCAAGTTATTGTCCATAGACCTACCGTTCCTTTCATTTGCATTTCCACACCTTTATTGTCCAAGGTCGAAAATAAGCTTTGGGCTATTCAAGATCTCAACAACCACTTGCAGTCAGGTATGCATAGAAAGTTTTCAGTCATATATCGCAGGTTTTTACTACTGTGTATCTAAAATCCTAGATAATTACAGTTCAGGTTGTCGAAACTTTAAAATAATCAGACGTCTCTTCCAAAATCTACTGGGGAATTATCGCCCTTGATCGCAAGCCAGGGTGGGAGAGAAGGCGTTGTGGCCTGCCCTTTAGTCAGACGTTACCCATAATGCTCTGCTGATAAGGTGAACACTGGACTGTAATCACCCTCTTGACAACACTTCTTGTCTTTTCTTTTATGGTTTGCACGAGTTGATTGTCATTAATATACGGTAGATTCCATGCTGCTTACGAAGGGTCTGATTGATCACCGTAATTTATGTCTTTCGGCTTGACCAAACGCTCTACAGGTGTGCCCCGGTCTTCACTCATGCCTTCCTTCCTCGCTACATTCATACACGAGTCCAGGTGAGTTACTAGGTATGGTTACATAATCTGTAGACTTTCTCAAATTGTGAAGATGCAATGTTTTCCCTGAACGAGGCATAACGTGTTCTCAGTCGCCATCTCGCACTTATTCAACGAGTCAGCTCTGCTAATCCCGGCTAGTAATTAGCAATCTCCCTGGGGAAGTTAGAATCGGGTGACGCCATCGCCTGCTGGGGATTTATTCGTTATCGGAAAAGCTTACGAAGAACAAAGAGCTGGACCATCACTTGCATAAACTCGACAGGTGTAAAGGTTAGCTTAATGCATGAGGCAAGATATTTACACCGTTAGTTATGACGCGACATCTCCCTTTGCTACATACGGTCTCTCGGAAAGAGAATCCCATTTTATGGATTGTTGTACTATCATTTCATCGGTATCTGCTATCCGTCGGTCAGTTTGGTTTTCTTGGTTGCCAGTTATATAGGATTCATTGCGGCAGTACCTATCTTGTAACAAACGGCGTTTCCGCAAGTTTTGATGCAGAACTCATGTGCAATTGTGGGACATTGTCCGAGGCAACTCAGGTGCGAGACCCTTCAATGGTGACAGTAAAGCCCCAGAGTTGTGTCTTACTCAAGATCTCTTCGTCTGTTCTGTTTCGTTATGTGCACTTGGGTCCGTATTCTACAGCAAGTCTTCTTTATTTTTGTCTACCCGTGTAAGAGTCTGTGCTGTGAATGAAGTTGAATATTTACTCTCACATAGGGTTACTGGCACAATCAGAAGGACGAAGATGGTCATTCCATACGACGGTATATCACATGGTCGTGGGAGAACCCATACCATTACTATATCGTCACACACTGTAATATTATTAGGTTTTCCGCCAATCTTAGGCTCCCGCAAGCGTTCCATGTACATACTTGATCGTTATGTAGTGCACTCAAACCAGATTCTTTTCTGCATATCACTGGTTCCCATTGGTTTGTATCCTATTCCTCCCTGTGCCAATCCATCACACTTCAAAGATTTAGCACACAGTGAGGTTCGAAATACCTTCATTCATTCAGTTCGGTTATTCAGGGGTCTGTTAATAAAACTTGATACAGTCTTTTGACGTGACATTCTCTGGGACTGTGTATCATGGCCATTTTGGCAAAACTAAGCTATAAAGTAACGGTTTTGCGGCGGATTGCGTGAGGTTTCATTCAGCTGTAGCTAATGATCAGTGCACCATTGAATTTATAAAAAATAAACTTGTGATTTATTTTATCCACTTTTTATTTTTATTTTTATTAGGACGTAGATGGCTATCCAATCAGGCAGACGTAGTTGCCAAACATAGGCACTTTTGTTGTTTTCTCTGTTATAATTGGAGAAGAAGGTCATCACGCTGCTGATCAGCTGCTTGAGGCTGAACGGCGAAGTGTTCAGTCCATTGGTTGGCAAGTTACGGGTTCGAAACTCCCTAAACTTCAGAAGGTGCGCACTGCTGACGACTTCCAATAAGAATGAAGAGACTGTACACTATTTTTCGGCTTTTCAGAATAGATTGGCATCACTTACAGGACGAAGTCTCAATTGAAGCTTTCAAAACCCCCTCATACCACGAACGTAAGTTGAGAAACCAATCAATAAGTTGGTAAGAAATACTCATGGTTCTTTGATAGCAATTGTGAGGGGGTCGGAACTAAGCAGTCGATTCTTAAAGATACTTGAATCCGATCTATAGATAGTTTCGCAGTTTCAGAAACATATCTAAAGGCAAACTTCCTAAGTCATGTTCTCCAGTCTGGAGAACAGGATTTGTGTGCATTAAAGCTACTGTAAAAGGAATATCTGAACAACCAGTAAACGTTCATCCTTACAGCGGGCTCTAAATATTCATGTTTTAAGTCTCATAATTAGTGCAGTAAAATTTTGATAGAAATTTCACTTGCACCGTACCGTTACACATGGTGGTACGAACCAAATTTTATAGTTGTCTTGTTTGGACATCAATTTTTCAAATTATTTCATGATGATTGATACCAGTGCATTACTTGCACATTAAATTCAGATTCAGAATAGCATCCGATAAATGAACGGCATCTACTGCAAAGCCCCAAATTGAATCGAAACTGGTCATTCATTTTACACCCTATCATTTCGCACAATCGCCATGGAGTTTTATAATGACGGTATATACACTTTACTAAACAATTTTTACTTGTTTATTCGTTTTTTCATCCTAACAACTCCAGCTAACTGAGAGAGCAGCTCTGTGTGGTGACACTTTTTAAGCAGTGAGTCCACAGGAAGAGCTGAACAATCCCATGAATTTTTCACCTAAAACATTAAACTAAAGGCCCAGAAGAAATCTGGCTATGAGCATGCGGTAAAGGCCACAAGTTGATGGACACTGTTTTTTTTAAATTTTATTGCAACTTTGAAAAGAACACAAGAGAATTTCGAACATAAATCTGTTGTTGTGAAATTGATCGTAGAGCCCATAGCAAGGCGGCTATCGTAACCTGATGCACAAACAATTTGCAATATTTTTGCTTCCAAAATTTCACCTAGCAATTATACTGATGAAAATCAATAAGCTTTTCGCCAAAACAGAACAAAGACGGAACCCACAGACAGGATGTTGTAAAACGTTCACGGAAACTGCGTTCAGATTTCAAGTTGTGTGTGTGGCGTCTAACTACTGCTTGAGATATGAAAAACCTATCCATAATTTTGACGCAGGACTTGCCAAAACTTTAGTTCGTTGAAGCCACACACTCTGGCGTTGTTATTAGCGAAAGCAGGGACTGACTTTCTACCAAGGGTTATTCTTTATTCGTTCACCGTTTCAGTGAGATACGCTCGTTTATGAATGATCGTGAGCCCTTTCAAATTTATTCGATTACTGGACTACAACCTGTAAAACACTGATGAAAAATGTAATCACTCTCTTATGGCTCCGACGAGCTCCGATCTTCGAGTCTTTGAAAAGAGTTCGAAAGAAAAACCCAGTCTGCTAATATTCGACTAACAATTAATGAATTCCAAAGTTGGTGGTTTTGATTAAATCCTTGACAAAGTTCAAACTTGCCTGAATTTATAGGTGACATTATCACTTCGATTAGAGGTTTGTTTGTATAATGCTTTTCAGAAGAGTTGCAGCCTTAAGAAAGCCACTTTCTGACAAGTGTTTTCCAACTTTCATCCAGTTTTTGAGTACAAATCTGAGCTTTGTGATGCAGTTAGTCGATACTATACTGTCGTATATAATAAGTAGAGAAGACTTATGCCTGCCTGGATGTTGCACACCTGACAATTGGCTGGCCAAGAAAGGGGGGACACCTTAATGCAACAGCTAGATTTGTGAACTACGAGTCATTGAAAACCGCTTGCACACAATTATGTACATATTGTTGTTTTCTGAATTTCTTCCTCGTCTAGGAACCACTATTCACCCGCAACCACTATTTTGGCAAATGAGCATGATTAACAGATTCTGTACGCATCAGTTTCACCAATGTCATTTATGAGGCTCGCATTTTGTTATTATGTCGCTTGATCCAATCAAAAGAGAGCACTTAAAATCTAACGTCCGTTTGGCCTACAGTATAGATTCGGTTAAAGAATAGCAGGAGATCTAATTCAAACACGACATGGCGCTTTGGCACTAAAAAGCAAACGGCCCATTGGCTAAGTCAGGTAGAATTCCCTTAATGGATGTTGAAAGGCTGTGAAGGTAGATCCATATCCGTGAAACTGCGGAGATTTTAAATCTTCATTGTTGAAAAAAGGTGAGAACCTCTGTTTCTTCTTTTCATAATTATGATTCACCAGCAGTATGCATTCCTGCTTTTCACCATAGACTTGGTATAC